ACTTCCTTCAGGGATTGAGGGTTTAGGGTTCATTATACAGGGTTTAGGGAGTTGCCCAAAGGTCACAGAACCCTAATTATATAAGAAACCCTATAGACCCTAAAACCGCTCGCCTTGAAGTTCTGTCGGATATATTCCTTCATTGATTCAGAATCAAAAGACGGATACGGGCACATACCCAGGGTCCAGTTGCCCACTTCGGTCAGCTGTTCTTTGGGGCAACGGCAACAAGGACAACAGTGTTCGTTATGACTCCAAGTTCGCAAACCACACACTTCAATTAAGGCTGGCCAATCCGCTTTAAAGTCAACCACTGCGAAGCGTAGATGATCTTCATGATCTGTCGAAGAAACATCCTCCCTGAAAGCCTCGAGGAGTGGCCATACGGAGCACCAGCCGCGGCAGCCGCATTGGCATAACTCCGAGAGTCCTGCGTAATAACAGTACCCATAATATGCGGATCTGGTTGGGCCCTTGAACTTTAGACCCTACATAAGCCCTAAAGCCAAACAGAAATTGCTTGTTCAAAACAAGGCACTAAGCAGCCACACCAATCGTTGTTGTTTCGGAGTCCGTAGATTAGTAATATAGAAACCCAAGAAGTTCTCGTTCTTGGTGTACTGGACACCGTCAAAATATACAGATAATGGCACAATACGTTCTCGGGGAATTCCTTCGTTCAGGGCTTGTAGTGTGACCGGGTGCTTTTCGTACCGGTCGCCGAGAGCTTTATCATTCTCAAGGAACGTAGCCACTGTTTGCTCGCAAGGCTTTGAGGGCCCTAGCAGGTTCAAGGCTTTCAGCTCATCGCGTATCATATCAGAGGCCAGACGAACTGGGTGCTTCACGGGAGTCCTGATCAGCTGCTTCTTCGTATTCATCGGAACTGTAACCCATTGTACACGAGGCTCCGGGAAGTCCTTCCGAAGGTGGTACCTCGGGGATTGTGGTGTGGTTTAGGGGATTGGGCTTGTTTGATAAATAATCATACCACGAGAACAACAGCAATACCTGTAGGGCTTTGGGTTTTGGGTTACGGG